GACACTGTCCTCACCTTCTCCAGGGGGCTGGGCAACTGCCCTTAATTCCTTTGCTCAGATCAGGGAGGGCACTGCAGTGAGTGCCTCTGTGTACCTGGAGCCATGAAGGGAGCACTGTGCTGGGAGGCAGGCCTGTAGAGTTCATTGCTGCCCATTGTGTGCATCCTTGGAGCACATCACCCACTCCCTTGTGCCCCATTTGTCATCCATCGGCTGTACAGGGACCACGTCTGCCTCTTACCCTGTTGTATCTCTACTGTTTGCGAAGTCCTTGAACATAGTGGATTCCTGATAAATGTCACAGATATTTGTCAAATGAAAGTCTGAGTTCATATGGAAGCTTCATGGATGGGGATGTAGCTCAGTGGGGAAACACTTGCCTAGCAAGTACAAGGCCCTGGATTCAATCCCCAGCACCACACACAAAGCACAACCAAACACAGTTATGTGAGTGCTTTTCTTCTGCCTCTCTTACAAGACTGTTGTCATGAGAATCAGCTTCGAGGCAGGTTTCCAAATGTCAGTCACGTATATTTTTTGCCAACACTAAATGCCATCATTACTTTTCTTTACTACTAACTTGCTAGTTTTAGGCTGAAATAGTCTTATTTAAAAAAGGAAATTTTATATCACTACTATAAATAAACAGTAACTGTTAAAACAAACCCATTGAAAAACAAAACAAGTTCATTCCATTTTATTCCTGCTTCTGTTGCCGGCCCAAGGCTAGCGAGACAGCCTGAGGCTGCCTTTCTCTTTGTTTACAAGGGAGATTGGCATGGTTATAAATAACATTAAGGACCTATTAGCCCCAGATTCGTACTTTCCTCTTCAGAAAGTCTGGATGATTAGAAAGGAAGTGGAAAGAGTGTACAGTGCTTTGTGTGCGGGTCCATAGTATCATAGTTCGCTTGTGTAGGTTCTCTTTCCATGCTTAGGGAATTACTTGGTCAAGATGACGGCAGGAAAAGCGCTTTGAGGGGGCAGAGTACTTGAACAGTGTAAGTGATTTGTAAGATTATTCTTATCTCCACTCTCAGGATGTTTTAGTAGGTGATGCAAAATAAGAATGAAGAAATGAATAACTATACAGACTCTTAGGGCTGAAAGAAATCGTACAGAATGCTCAGGCAGTTTGACACCAGAGGAACCTGCCCTTCAGGGAGTGGTGGAGAATCTGCTACTTCCTGAGACAGCCACTGGACCGTGAAGACCTTTGTTCAATTGCTTCTTGGATAGCTCTGGAGGCCGGTTGTCGAAACTGCTTCCCTACACCTTAGTCAGGTCTGCACTGGAGAGATTCACAGACCGTCTTCCTTTTCTTGTTTAGATTAGAGTTCTGGATATTGGGAAACTGCTGAGCTATTCTGCCTAAGACAAGGCTTGCAAACTCCAGTGACTTTAGGATCCAGCAAGTGCTATCAAGAGGTCAGGTGGGGGAGTGCTGGGGAGTAGTGGGGACTGTGGTAAATTAGAGGGCATGTGCTTTATCTAAAGAGTCCTTTTCTGCACCTGCTGGTTGTTGCCATGTGAACCCTGCATGGCCAGATACTGAATTGTTCTAAGAAAATCTGACGTTGAATATAAAATCTTTAAGCTTTAAATGTTAGCAGTGAATTAAGATACTGTGAAACATGGTCTGAACTAAAACCAAACAAACCAACAAACATAACGGGGACCATAGGAGATTTTCTGGTAAAGTCTGGGCCCCAGCCATACTCTTCGCCGCCTGTAAACTTACCCAATCTCTTTACCTGGTATAAGGCATGCTGTTTTCCAGAACTCCCTCCATTGCAGCCAGCCCCTCTGCATGTCTTTCAACATTGCCAGAGTCCCCCTTAGCGCCTCTGCTCCTCTCACCTGGTGAATACCCACGGATGCTTTGAGATTCAAATCCATTGTCCCCTACACTGGAGAGCTTCCCTGATAACTCTAGGGAGGAAGACTGGTGCTTGCATTTTCTGTGTGACGCTGAGTAAATTACTGAATCCCTCTGTGTCTCAGTTTCCTTATCTGGAAATGAAAATAGTTCCCACTTCATTAGGTTGTTGAGAACATTAAGTGAATTTATCGATAGATGACAGACAAGGACCTCTTCGAAGGCAGAGCTGGTCACCGATGTATCTCTGAATTGGGGGTGGTCACAGGGCAGGTGTTCATGAACACTGGCTCACATGAAAAAGCCGGGTAAAATAAGCACACGGCCATCCAGCTCTAGTGATCTGACCATCATGATGATGCTGCGTGGTTGTGAATTCAACTCTTTTGAACTCTTTCTAAAAAACCAACCAGAATATCTATCCAGAGGGCAAAAATATACAGCAGTGACAGTACCCAGTGCTGGCGGGGAAACTAGATCACTTGTACATTGCTGGAGGGACCAAAGCTGGTCCGCTGGAGAACAATTTGGCAGTTACTTTTTTTTTTTTTTGGGTGCCGGGAATTGAACTCAGGACCTTACATTTGCCAAGCAGGCGGTTCAGCAAATTGGGGTACATCCGTGAAGTGGACTGCTACTCGGCAATAAGAAGAAATGAAGTTTGATACATATGACAGTTTGAGAATCTCAAAGGAATACTAAGTGGAAAATGCCAACCCCCAAGAGCTACCTACTCTCTGATTCTATTTATACAGTTTTTTTAAATGACAAAATTCTAGTTGGGGGACACACTAGTAATTGCTTAGGGCAGGGATAGGAGTGCATTGGGAGGGCAGCTTAGGGAAGGAGGTAGATATGGTTATAAAAAGACACTTGGATCTCTTCGGTGATGGAAGTGTTTGTTCCTTAACTGTGGTGATGGATACACTGATCAAATTTCATGAAATAAAACATACACATTCATAAAACTACCTGTAGCACTGGGGAAATCTGAGTAAGATAAAAGAATAAAATAAAATGGGTGGACTGTATCCGTGTCAGGTTCCTGGCAGTCATATTGCACTGGATTTTGAGACCGTCACCATTGGTCAGGCTGAATAAAGTATACTGGGACCTTTCCGGTGTTATTTGTTACAATTGCATGTGAATCTACAGTGATCTCAAAGTAAAAAGTTTTCTTAATTATAAAAGGATTGCAAGGTATTCAAAACAAAAATCAAAACGAAAGCAAACAAAGGCAACCAAAGGCAGTCAGCTAGTTTCCTGTTGAGCCTCACCTTTGGCTTATTTCTGTTTGAGGTCAGACGTGTTCAGAGCCTGGGGGCCTTTATCCTGCGAGAACCGCCAAGCCAACCCCTTCCCATTTGGCAGGTTTGCCCTCCTATGTCAGGGCTGGGAGAGACCCAAAGACCATTCTCATCCATGCTGAGTTCAGGATGTGTGTGGGACCTGTGCACAAAGTACAGGCTGAAGTCAAACTCTGGCTTCCTTTTTAGGAAGGGCGGGGGCAACAGAGGACCCAGGAGATTAACAATGGCTTCTTTAAGAAAACAGGCATTTCCACAACACAGAGATGTCCTCTGCCGGTGCCTGTCTTTCCCTGCCGCCCAACAGCTAGCTGCCAGCCCTGCCAAGGCTATGTTTACCTCTCCCTGCCTTCCTCCTCTCAGCTTCTTTCTTTTTGCTATTAAGTGTGCAATTTTTTGACCAGTTTATTTTATTCCTTGATGACCTTGTGGCAACAGAACATATTGCAGGTGGGACAACAGGCTTGGAGAGGTTCAATAGACTGCCCTACGATCCTTTTGCATCTGTGCTGGCCTGAACATCTGTGGCATAAGACTATGAAATGCTGACCTCATGTTGTCTGAGACTCATCAGAGGAAGAGGCATGCTTTTCTCTCTTCTTCTCTTTTAAAGGACATCCGAAGAGGGAAAGTTCAGCTAAGACTCTCTGGATCCCAGTAGTTTTGTGATTATTGAAATTTTTGGTGTTGGGTCTACTGTACCTTTTTAAACTGAGGATCCCAAAGAGCTTTTGTAAATTTTTATCCATCAATATTTATCAGATTGTAAGTGAATACTGAGATATTTAAAAATAGCACTAATCCCTTTAAAAATAATAAGCCTGGTATAGCAATATGCGACACTGGTGGAAAGAATAACTGTTTCCAAAACGACAACAGAAATTAGTGAAGAAAGTGCTATTGTTTTAAATTTTTGCGAATTCCTTTACTTGATGTCTGAATTTACATATCTACATCTACACTTAATCCCTTGCGATGTCACATGTCATGTAGCTCTGGGAACCACTGAATGGCTGTGAGATAATGAGAATGGAAACGTTTAATAACTTCTTACTGGGTCTACCTATGCAAATAGTGTTGACCTTGTGGACTTCTTGAAAGAGTCTCAGGGATTCCCCCCAGGGTTCCCGGATTATGCTGTGAGAACCCTCGCCATAGTATATTATATCCTCTGGTTTCTTTCTGATCCTGTCTCCCCTGTCTCCATAACAACCTGCATCCCATAATAAGCAGAACAAAACAGGCTATGCAGAAGTGACGGATATTCGTATTTCTGAGGACTTGGCTTCTCTTTGGATGTTTGCATGGTCTCCAGATTTTGGGGCTTTTGCAGCCCCCACCATGTTCTGAGTCGGCAGGTACTCCTCTGGTTCTGGTGCCTAAATCCTCAAAGTAGGATGTAAGCTGGAAGGACATGGTGCCTGTTGGGTGCTTGTGGCTGGAAAGGCAGATAACCACGGCTGTCTCAGAGCTTTCTGGAATAACAGAAACGCTTTCTATTCCTGCTACGTATCCAGTATGACAACCGCTGGAAGCATGTGGCTATTGCGTACTTGAAATGTGGCCAGCGCGATTGAGGAAGGGAGTCATGTTACTTTATTTTAGTTTAAATCCAAATGTCTACACGCGGCCACCCCTGCGTCATCACACCGCACAGCCAGACCTTGCCGGTACTTGCAGGCTCCTGACCCAGAAGCAGTGGAGAGAAATCCTCAAAAGGGTTTTGAATGTGGGGTGGTGAGGGTGACACCGTCCAATCTGCGTTTTCCAGCCTGACCAGCATGTCGCTCTGTGTTTCTTTCTCCACAACACAGGTCCCACCATGAGGCCCCAGCCCCGCGGGAGCCCGCGCGCCCCCCTGGCCCCGGGCGCACCGTGCTAGCCCCTCCAGGGTGTGGGGACGCGGGCGGCCATGGCCAGCCACGTGGACCTGCTGACCGAGCTGCAGCTGCTGGAGAAGGTGCCCACGCTGGAGCGGCTGCGCGCCGCGCAGAAGCGTCGGGCCCAGCAGCTGAAGAAGTGGGCGCAGTATGAGCAGGACCTGCAGCACCGCAAGCGCAAGCACGAGCGGAAGCGCAGCGCCGGGGGCCGCCGCAAGAAGGTGTCCTTCGAGGCCAGCGTGGCCCTGCTGGAGGCGTCGCTGCGCAACGACACGGAGGAAGGTAAGTGGCCGAGCCTCAGGTCAGGGTCTGGATTCAGAGTCTGCGCGGCAGAGGTGGGGGCCGAGGCCAATGTGCAGCGTCTCGCGAGGGAAGGCAGCAACGCCTGTCTTCGTCTTTGCAAGTGGATGTTCCCAGGAAAATCTTTGGCTTTGTTTCTTAGACGTTTCTGTTGTTGGAAACAAGGATTCCGGCTTTTGGCTAATGAATACCATAATAATTTCCCTTCCTTCACACAAATATTTACTGACAACCTACTTCCTGCGCATTGCTGTTCTAGATGGAGTATGAACGAGCTAGGTCTAATTTCTCCCCTCCAAGAGCTGGATGCTCCTGGGACCTTGCGTTTCTTACTCCCTTGCTCTGTGCGGGCCCCTGGCCTGGCGCTCTGCATGCCCTTCTGGTTTCACGGGTCTCCACTGCAGCAGATCCTGTGTAGGAGGTGGTGAAGAGCACAGAGGCAGATGTTCCACATCCTAGGTTTGGATAGTACCTCTGTGACTCTGGCAGCAGGCAAGTCACCCATTCCTTGTGTTTGGTTTCCATCTCTGTCAAATGAACTTAATAATAGAATCTGCTGTAAGGACCTGCTGTGAACATTAAATTAGAAACTACTTGTAAAGTTCCCTTAGACGTAGTCCCTCATGTTGTGGTTATAAATGTTTTACGTATTATGTATATAACATTGATCTCACTAGATTGATACAATGTAGTTTAGCATAGTCAATATAGTTTTTTTTTTTTTTTTTGGTCTTTTTGAAACAGGGTTTCACTATGTAGTTCAGGCTCGCCTTGAACTCACTTTGTAGCCCAGGCTGGCTTTGAACTTGCAGCGATCCTCCTGCCTCAGCCTCCTGAGTGCTGGGATTACAGATGTGTGCTACCACACCTGGCAGCATAGTACCATATAGTTTATATTAGCATAGGATGGCAATAAAGCCTGGAAATGTAGACAAGTATTCATATCAAGGTTGTCTAGGACATTTTCCCTCTATAAGTGAAAACGTAAGTGCAAACATGTTTCTGTTATATAGTCTTCTTCCAGAGTATATGGATTCCTATCCTGTTACTTTATTAGGTTATGTTATTATTATGGGCCCCATGATCCAGATATTACCATACTCAAGAGCCACATCTGATAGTACTCATTTTATATATGGGGAAACTGAGACCCAGTTGCCAATGGTTTGGAACTTTGGCTGAGGTAATGGGGCAGGATCAGAACCCCCTGACCTGAGCTTCAGTGACTGCCCCATGGCTTTGTAGGTTTGCCTCACGTTGCAAAGCTGCGTGGTGTGGCTCAATGACTTGACCCAAGCCTCCTTCTCCGGGTGTGTTTGGAGGGGTCATGCCTATCCCTGTAACTGGGCTTTGTGTACACACCCTTTGATACCCTCAGCAGCCTCCGTTTTCTCCCTGGATGCCAAAGCCTAGCTGGCTGTTCCTGGAGATGCCTCACACATTTCCTGAGCCCCTCTCCCCGTCCTCCAGGGCCTGTGCTAAAGTAGTCAGTGGAAGAACTGAAGGGGGTGGCATTTACAACACAGAAGGGTGTTGAGTTTCATAGCTTGAGCATCCTTACTCCCAAAAATCTGAGATTTGAAATACTGCACAACTGGAACCAGAGAGCCTATCCAATGCCACAAGTGGAAAATTCCACACCTGACCGCATATATTGGATTGTATAGGTTACCTGCAGGCTGTGTGTATCGAGTGTGTCTGAAGTATAAAAGAATTTCATGTTTAGACTTGGGTTCCATCCTTGAGGTATCTCCTTATGCATATGCAAATATTCCAAACTCTTAAAATCTAAAATATAAAGCTTTTCTGGTCCCAAGCGTTTTGGATAAGGGATACTCAACCTCTGCAAACACAATTCCATTTTCATCCTGGTACCTGGGGTCTAGAACATGAGCAGAGATGCATTCCCAGAACTGCTTGGCTGGAAACAGCTCAGCTGAGGGCCTAGGTGAGCAACCCCCAGAGAGGCATGAAGTCTCAGGCTCGGGGACATGGCCTTGAGGCTCCTTCCTACGTGTGCTTTACTGGATGACATGGCAGCACGTCCCACTCAGTGGGTGGCTCATCATGATGTCTAATTTTTGACGAAGGGATTGGCTCATCAGCTCTTCTCTCCCCACTCATCGTTGACTCCCTTCTTACTGATGAAGCCCCCTTCCTCTTCTGATGGGCGTCTCAGGGGCTCTGTGAGCTGCCTGTGTGGCATCTCCTCAGTGACTGTCATGTGTACTGATTAGAAAGAACACTGGTCTTGGCGTTCAAGGACCAGTCCTCCCACCTCCTGGCCACCCTTACCTGTGACCCTGAAACGTTCATGTCTCCTCTCTGGTCCAATTTCTGAGATGTGTAAAATGGGATCTTGAACACTTGCCCACAAGAAGATGTGGCACAATTGGAAAAAAAACCCAGTATGTGGCAGGTCTTTAAAAAGTTATCCTGAGCCCTGTATCAAGACAGTGATAATTTTAACACATTTTTATTTGCATTTTCTGCAGACTTTAATGTTTTGGAGAACTCAAAGATACACAAACATTCTTATAAAAATCAAACACTCCTATAACCCCAGCTACTTGGGAGGATGAGGCAGGAGGATTAGAAGTTCCTAGCTAGCATGGGCAACTTAGTAAGACCCTATCTGAAACCAGAAAAAAGGGGATGCAGTTTATTAGAAGCACTTGGCTAGCATATGCAAGGTCCTGGGTTCAGTCCCCAGCAACACACATGCGCGTGCACACACACACACACACACACACACACACACACCATATATACAAGGCAACAAGTCTTTGTTCCTTCCTTCCTTCCTTCTTCTATGATCAGTCCATGTTAGACTGACATGTTTCCTTCTAGACATTTGCTCATTTATCTATGTATTGTGAACTTGGAGAAATATAGAGCTAAGTTTCTTTTCTCTTTTTCTTTCAAATGCATAAGTGATGACATCTTGGAATTCTGGATATATTATTCTGCAGTTTTCTTTTTTTCTTTTCACTCAGCAGTGTGTGTTGGAAATAGTTTTATGTTCAGTGCTGTAGATTTGCACTGTTCATTTTCACTGCTGTGTAGTACTCTATAGTATGGTTTCACCAGCAGTTTTGCTCTAGTTTCTTACTGATGGCCATGGAGATTTTTCCAGTATTTCTGCTTTTGACATAGTGGACGTTTTGTGCACACATGCAAATGGCTGTTTAGGACAGAGTAGGGAAATAGAAGAGCTGGATTGAGGGGTATCACATTTAAATTAGAAAAATACTAGACCCCATAGGCTGTGCCCTGGCTCTGGGAACAGCCAAGTGAGGGTGGCAGGGCCGGAGCCCTGTGCTCTGTGGCCTGCTGGGGGCTGGGTGGGGTGAAAGGTGCCCCTGGGGTCCACAGGTGGCTGGTGGGGGTGGGCGAGGCTGCCATCAGTCAGTCCTTGATCTTGCTGGGTTATGCTCCACTTCCTGGCAGCATGACAGTCCGCTGGCTGGGAACAGCTTCTGCTTGCTGGTGGAGCCGGTGTTTGGGAGGCTGCTGGGGTGTTAGATCACAGTGGGGTGGGAGCGTGGGGGCAGCTCCCCCGCGCCCTTGAGCTCATAGAATCCTCTGAGTCAACGCTCCTCACCTGCCGGTGGAATGTGAATTGTTCCCCAGAGAGGCAGCACTGGGGAACTCACTGAATTTCCTTTTCTGGTCCTGCATTGCCCTTAGACGAATGTTGTGGACTTCGGACCTGCCTGAGCCCCACCCGCACTGCTCCCGGTCATCCTCCCGTGGGTCAACCAGCCCTGGCCCCTCCTGGGTCCTCCATGTACTCCCTCACTTGTGCACGCGCGGTTCCCTCTATCTGAAGCCCTCTGTCTTCGGCTGACTCCTCTAACTCTTCAAGTCTAGGTCCAACGTGACCTCTGGGGAGCCATCTGTGAGCCTTTTCTGCACCCTCCTCATTACTAGTTACAGCAGAAAATCCATGGCTGATACTTAGTGGGAGACAAGACAGTGGGAAGCCCAGGAGTACAGGTTGCAGTTTGTCCTCCTGGGTTCAAATCCCAGCTCTACTGTTTACTAGCTGTGCATTCTCAGGGAAAGTTACTTAACTCCTTGGCGCCTCGGTTTCCCCATTTGTATAGATGAGGACTAATATACCTGCCTTGCAATGTTGAGGGGTTACACTGAGTTGGTAAATGATGAAATGATATGATGAAAATGGGGTAAGTTATATAAATTGTTGTCCCTACATTCTATATTATTCTACGTTTACATAATCTCTTATTATTCTGTATTCTGATTGTCATCTTCATGATTATTTATCAGGTGCTGACTTTGTACCAGGCACTGCTTTCCATATGTTTAGCTCAGTAAATCCTCACAAGCAACCCTGTGAGGTTACGTAGAAAAGTCAAACTCCATTTTAAAAAAATAGCTTGGGGTTTAATTTACATACCATAACATTTGCCCATGTTAAGGGCAGCTAGTTTACAGAGTTGTGCCTTCATTACAATCTAGTTTTAGAACATTTTTATCCAAAGAAGCTTTTTGCCAATATGCCGTCACTCAAGGGTCCCAGCCCCAGCCCCAGCCCCAGCCCCAGCCCCAGCCCCAGGCAATCACTGATCTACTTTTTGCCACTCTGTATTCGACTCTGCTGGATGTTTCATTTATATGGGATCAAACAATATGTGATCCTTTGTGTTTGGTTTTTTGCTTTAGAGCAATGTCTTGAGGCTTCTTCCAGGTTGTCATACACGAATGCTTGTTACTTTTTCCTGAGTAGATACAGCACGCTTGGTTCATGCATTCACCTGTCCGTCCATATTGCCATTCTTGGTCATGGTCAATAGTGCTGCTAAGAACTGATGTGTGCAGGTCTTTGCATGGACATTTGTTCTCATTTCTCTTGGGTGGGCACCTTGGAGGAGAATTGCTGGGTCACATGGTACATTTATGCTTAACTTTTAAAGAAAGGATTGAACGGTTTTCTAAATAGGCTGCGCCATGCTATG